CACCCGCAGATTCTGAATCTACGCAAAATTCTCTATCGTTTAGTCACTTCGGTTTTCTCTGTCCATTTTGGACACTATCACAAAAATCGGTCACCCGTGTATGGATACTCGATCCGTTATCGCACAACTTGTGCGGTAACTGATCTTGTGCGGCACAAGATAAACATAACTCGATAATATTTGGAAGCACTGGTGCAACACAACAATGAAAGATGGGAGGGTCGAAGAATGATTGAAAAACGGGAGAGATTAATGAATGATTGAAAAACGGGAGAGATTAATGAATGATTGAAAAACGGGAGAGGTTAATGAATGATTGAAAAACGGGAGAGATTAATGAATGATTGCTATGTGAAATAAGCTATTCGCGCATGGGCCGATACGCATCCCTATAGTCTATTTTATTTAACTCTCGAAGAGTGTTTCTACTTGAGTTCACTAATACCTATCCTACCATTCTTCCAGTCATACAAGATATAATGTCCAATGAAGCTAGGGAGTCCAATAACCCATATGGGATACTCAGCCACGTCAAGAAGTACGCGACAATAAGCTTGCCCTTGAGCATCCGTTCTCACATTCACATATGCATCAGAGGGGATCTTCACCTTGACATCCGAATTATCTTCACCCTTTAGAAGAAATTCTATCGGTGGAAGGTGTTGTCGTTGATTACAATCGACGATAAGCTTAGTACCGCTTTGGGTAATCGTCACCTTACTGCTTGATCGAGCCTCAAGATCTTGTATGAGCTTAGGAAGAGTATACCGACGTTTATGTATGAGTATGCACTCTGCCCCACTATCGATGATACCAGGATCATTCACGGCCATTACAGGATACGTTCCACCTCCCATGGAGAAACCGGTAACTCGTAAACACTTGGGTTTATTAACTGCATAGACCAACGGACTTTTATAAATACTAGGATCTGATCCACCGAGAAGGAGTTCCCCTCTTAAATTAGTTCCATCATGCTTGAGGTAGATCGAGAAGATATCACTCTCGATAAGCTTCTGTGAGAGGAGTTGTTCTATTATCGGTACATATGGTGATTTTGGATCCTGTTTCGGTAACAATCCGAAACCAGCATGAGGGACTGGTACATTGGGACCATACGTGTATTCAGCAACCAGACCGAATGTAATAGTGGCACTGGCAGCTTGGCCGAAATAGGCCGTTGCAGATTCCTCGAAGATCCTTACTTCGGCTCCATGTCCGAAACGTAGTGTATAAAGTTTTCCCTCACTGCAAACTTCAGGGCTGCATTCATAACAACCGAAGATGATGTCCTTGCACTTCCCTGGATGACCCTTCTCGTACCAATGCTTCCAGAGGAAGAACGTCGTGGAAGAACTGGTGTCAATCATGCCATAGACATCTTGGCTACCGAGTGTTACTTTTCCAACTAGGACATACACATCGGCATCTTTCGTGACCTTCTCATATAATGCAGGAACCCTTATGAGAGATCCCACGATACTTGATAATAGGGAGAGAGGGAAAAGTAGATAATGGAATATGTCCATCGCATGTTGGAAATAAGCTACAAGACATAAATTCACGTTCACGGATAATACTATTAGTTCTAACTGTACTGTAGCGTAGACTTGTACAAATTGCAATTGCAGCCCACATCTGTGCATTCCTGAATGTGATGTGGACTCCACA